CTGTAAGACACTGACCTCTTGTAGCATCTCTTCTGCCTTCCAGTGTCAAGAGTTTGATTGGCCTGCTGCACGTTCCTCTGTAAAACCTGTAATACAGTGTTGAGGATGCCGTCACGGGAGTAACCGGGAGCCACTTTTCAGTGCAATGACACATGAACTAAAGCATGATTCAGCAGAATGGCCCTCAGGCTCCCATGAAGGCGTCACACTATAGTCTTGTGAGCTTGGCCCTGAGCACCAGTCAAACCCTTTGTTAAAGCTGTCAAAAAAGCAAATGCTGAAAAATGCCTCAAAAGCAGCAACACAATTATTAGCGCAGGTTTTGCTATAGTATGTAGAAAAACCTTCTAAGTTGCTGCCCTGCGTGTCACACTGTCTTAAAAAGACACTTTCAATAGCATCAACTTAAAACTTTCAAGTTCCGTAGAAAATAAATTATAGCTACAGAACAGTCAAAGATGCAGGAACTCTGAATTATTCTAACTGTTCTAGTTGAGCTCTTACAAAGTTAGCGGAAATGGGGATTTTAAATGGAGTATGAACATGTGAAGACGTGCATAGATTCATTGACGACCACGGCCACTCGTGACAAACTTCCTAGGACTCTGTCCCGACCCCTACTTTTCAGCACCACCCAATAAAACAGCAGTCTATGGATTCATCAAGAGATTAATCTAGGGCTGGAGAGATGGCTCAGAGGTTAAGAGCATTGCCTGCTCTTCCAAAGGTCCTGAGTTCAATTCCCAGCAACCACATGGTGGCTCACAACCATCTGTAATGAGGTCTGGTGCCCTCTTCTGGCCTGCAGACATACACACAGACAGAATATTGTATACATAATAAATAAATAAAATATTTAAAAAAAAAAAAAAGAGATTAATCTATTCATGAGGCCAGAGCCACTGGACTGCCACCTCTGCCAGAGGTGTGTTTTTACTAAAGTAGGGCCAGTCAGTCCAATCAAGATGACAATCAAGATTACCAAGCACACACCACGAAGTTACAAAGATGGAGTATGGTGCACACAGATCCAGCGGGATGGTACATTGGGGGCAGAAACATAATCACAGCAAAGGACTCGAATTCGGTGTGGAATTCCTGTCAGCACAACAAGAGCCTTCAGGAGGCAGGGGATGCGGCAGCCCAGGCTCAGCCCACACCTCGGGCTGCTCTAGCGCCCAGGGCCGTCACTGCTAGGCAAGGGGACGCCAGACACAGCAGCTGTGGCACCGGGGTCTGGACCAAGAGGAGGAGAAGGGTGCGGCTGAGGACAAGTCTCCCTGGAGGCTCAGCCCACCGGGGGCGACAGAAGCCGTGAGCACAGCCCCGCGCAGGCCTCGGGGAGCCAAACCGTCCGCGCACAGCACAGCGGAGGGGACGAGGACCTGCCCCGGCCGCTTCCCGCGGGCAGCACTCACCATGGCGGCCCCCGTCCGCCTCCCTCAGCTGACAGGCCCGAGGAGCCCGGACTGCCCAGCTCAGCAGACGGATCAGGCGCTAAGATGGCGCGAGACAAAGACCCGCGAACCCGCGAAGGCACGCCCCTGCGCCCGGGATGCGTGCCTGATTGGATAGAACCTCAGTCCCCACCCCCTCGCGCCTTGAGTGACCGCAGATAGCACCAATCAGTGGCTGACTAAGACAGCGTACCTGAATAGAGACCTCTACGGGTGGTTTTTGTTTTGCGTTTTGTTTTTCCGAGACAAGGTCTTGATGTGCAACCCGCGCTGGCCTCGAACTCATGAGAGTCCTGCCTCAGCCCTAAAATGCTGAGATTATAGGAGCTGACCACTATGCTTCCCTTATCTGCAGCTGTCTGAAGATAAAGCTCACTCCGGGTGGATTGGGGTTTGATCTTGTTCCTAAAGTCATATGAATGGTGAATTAAATGTAGAAACGTGTTGTTCACAAATGTAAGGAAAGACAATCATTTTTAAATTTCCAGCAACTTTTTCTTTGATCTTTATTTCTTTGGTTTTGGTCCCAGATCTTTGAACAGAGAAGCTGACAAATCTAACAAGCCATCTGTTAAAGAGGATGTCAAGTACAAATAAAATGTGAGGCACCGTGTCATTTAAAATTTTCTGACAGCCGGGCGGTGGTGGCGCACGCCTTTAATCCCAGCACTCGGGAGGCAGAGACAGGTCGATCTCTGTGAGTTCAAGACCAGCCTGGTCTACCAGAGCACCAGGGCAGGCACCAAAGCTACAAAGAAACCTTGTCTGGGGAGGGAGGGGGAGTCCTGACGGGTCTAATGGGATAATCTCCTGACTGACACACCCCTGTAGTGGCTACAAAAATGCTGTAAACCAGGGCCGCTCCTCGGTGAGGCCCAGGAGCGTGGGGACCATTGTCAGAGGACCCTGGAGAGAAGAGAGCTCAGACACCTCACTCCTTACCCTCCACCCCGCCGCTCCGGGCCCACGGAGCAAAGCTGCTGCAGGTGGAAAAGGCGAGTGCCAAAGGGAACTTAGAGCAAATTAACCATCTTTCTGGCTCTGGCTCCAGAAAAAAACTGGACAAACAGATGTACTGACACATTAGCTCCTGCAGAGGGCGCCAAGAGCTAGAAATCCATTCCACTGGGCAAAAAGCTAGACTTCTAGTTTCTGTTTTTTAATTTTTTAAATTTCATCCAGAGAGAGTGGTGTGTGCCACTTTTCACTTCACGTCCTTTTTTTCTTTTTTCTTATTTTTTTTTCCTTTTCGTTGACGCTAAATTCACATAGCATAAAGCAAACCACTTTGGCACTTAAGACATCCATGCTGTATTCCAACTAGCACCTATATCTAATCTGAAAATGGTTTTAGTGCCTTAAAATAGAATTCCGAAACCATTACGTCAACCAGTAATCCCACACACCTTTTCATCCCCCTTTATCAAACCATTGAGCTGAATTCTTACGGATGCAGCGTTTTATGGCCTTGAACTTACTTAACCTCCTCCATATTTGAGGCAAGTGGCTGGGTGTCTCAAGTTCTTAGGGTCCCAGATGGAGCCTCTGGGTCACGCATCATCCTTGTCTACATACTGCATGCAGGCCTGAGCCAATAGCGAAAGTGGTTGAGCACTGGATCTGCCTCCTGCGGGCCTAGGGGCAGCAGCCGTGAACCTGCTTCTGTGTGGATGGTGGATGCCTAAAATCCCCGCATTTGAGATGTGGTCTTAGGAGGATTAGAAAAAACGCTTTAAAAAAAAAAACTTTAAAAAATGATGGTAATAATGAAATAACTGGTATACTAAAGTTGCGCATAGATATGAGGAACCTGCGATGTTTTGATAATGTGCATGCATACGTGTAGCATCTAAATCAGGGCAAACATCTATCTCCTCAAACGTTTGTCATAACTCTTTTTAAAAGAACATTTTAGTATTATAGATTACGTGTATGTGTGGGTGCGTGACAGTATCCACAGAGGCCAGAGGTGTTGGATCCCAGGGGGCTGGAGTTACAGGCAGCTGCGAGCCACCCACCATGAATCCTAGGAGCCTCACTTGGATCTCCTGGAGGAGCAGCAAGTCCACTTAACCACTGAGCCATCTCTCCAGCCCTTATCCTACTGCTGCTGTCTGTAAGCAGCATGGTCTTCTGAGCCTTAGCAGACCAGAGCATCTGGCTACGACGTAACTCTTAACTCAGCATCTGTTGTTAGTCGCTGTCTTTCCCCTTCTGGCTTCACACTCTGCTCACCACGGGTCTACTCTCAGCTTCTCTGAGATCAACATTTCAGCTTCCAGGTATGAGCCAGACGGTGCTGTACTCATCTTTCTGTGCCTAGCTCATTTTACTTAACATAATAATCTCCAGTTCTGTCCATAAGGCTGCAAACGACAGACTTCACTCCCTTCCATGGGTGCAGAGTTCCCTGCTGCCTGTTCATTCCTCCTCCAATGGAGCGGGTCTGTTTTAATTTTTCTGGGCTATCAAGAGTAGGACTTCAGGGAATGTGCCTGTCATTTTTACATAGGGGTGTAATCTCCTCTGAGTATATACCCAGTGGTGGGAAGCTTCAGACGGTAGCTTTAGTTCCGATTCTTTGCGAGATCTCGGTACTCCCTCATGGCCACTCAGGAGTTCACTCTAGATGTGTGAAGTTTAGGGCCTCCTTCCTGAGTCACGGGGATCCGTAAGATGAGCTTCAGGTGGCCTTGTTGCCTGGCTAGCACAGCTCATGTTTTCACGCAGTACCTCCTCTGTTCGCACCTAAAATCACGTGTTTTCCAGAGGGTTTTCCAAGGAGGTGTGTCAGGAAGGATTTGGTGCTGGACTTTCTCAATAGTCCCGGGCCTAGAGCACCTAAGTCTCCCTCACTTGCTGGATTAAAGGGAGCCGTCCTTTCTGCACAGGGCAAGTGGCCCAGCCTGGCAGCTAGCTCTTTTCTTGCCTTACACTTGCAAGGCCATCAAACCTTTATTTAAGTCAATAAGAAAGAAGAGTTGGACAAATAGAGCCTGGCCCAGTACCTCGTTCAAGAGACAAGGGTAAGGTGTGAGTACCTGAGCGGCCAGGACCATGCCGTGATGGGGGACAGGGAAGGGATGAGGGAGGGTTTGGCTGGGTCTCTGGATAGGAGTCTCTACTGCCAAGGCCAGAATCAGGCTACTTTCAACATCAACATCACAATGTCCACAAAGGCAGTGGAGCCAGTGTGGCTGCTCTGCAGGTCTCAGTAACCAGAGAATTTTATCTGAATTCCCCAGCACCTACACCTGGCTGGGATCCCAGCACTGACATCTGTGTCCTCCCCTTGGGCTCCTGATGGCCCCAACCTGGCCCAGCTGCCACCCTCCTACTGGCCACCTCCCCTCATCTCCATGCCTCCCCTTATCCCCTGTTAGCAGTGCCTTTATCTTCCGTGCTCAGTAAGCTGGCCATGACCCTTAGGAAGATTCTTTTTCCTCTGATGCAACTTTCCTAAAGGTAAGAGCTGGTTATTTTCCGACGGCAGTAACGGGACTCAACAGAAGCTGGTACGCTTGTCTATTCTTCCGTTTCTAGGCTCCCCTCTCCTGTCACCACTGGGAGACAGACACCTAGGCTCATTTGGACTGTGCCCTGTCTGGAGTTTTCAGGGAACCAAACTAATTCCCTCAAAATCCTCAGAAGTCACCCTGGAAAGCAGGCAGCAGGGTCAGAGGTAGGTGAGTGTTTTCTTCTTTAATGGCACTCCTCAGTGTTTTAGTCTGGACCTCTCTCTATACTCAGTGGGCAGGGAGACACCATGGCTGTCCGAGTATGCAAAACATACAAGATCTCTTGGCAACGTGGCATACTAGATATGAAGGGCAAGCTAAGGCTGTGCCAGGAAGGATCTCTTGGGCTGGTCGCTCTGTTCTCAAAAGTTACTCTCTAAACAGATTATACTAACTACCCTAAATTACTGAGTTCTGAGAGGTGCCCATCCCTGCCAAGGAGGGAACTGTGCCCTCTACTCCCGGCCAGAGAAGTTCTCTCAGGGTGATTGACAAGTTGAGGGTGTCACAGGGTCCTGATGACCTGAGATTTGCCTGTTGGAGCTGGTTTTTCTCCATGTGCCCACAAAGGGCAGGAGCTCGCGTAAAACCCCTCCCGCAAGCGTAGGTGGTAAACTGCACACAGAGGGCCATCTGCGCAACTCTGCAGATGGCGTCTGTGGGAAACGACACCTTTTCTACGACTAAGAACTCACGTGGCATGTGAATTAGCAGCTTTGTCTCCTAAGCTGTTTGTCCTTTCTCCTGTTAAACTCCTAGCTTCTCTTTCACCGTGGCTGAGGTGTCCTCAGTAGGGATGGCAAGTCCACACCATGGAGATGCAACTCTGTCAAGCTTCTTGGTCACCTTCATCTTCCTGCAGCTCCTGCCTGCTGGGAACGGTAGGACAACAGCCCCTTCCTGACCCTAGGGGTGCCCAGGATCAAACTGAGGTCTCCAACGGAAGCTCGGGACTAATGGAGCCCCCATACCCTCAAAGAGGAAATGGGTATAGGGGGAGTACCTGTCTCCTGCCTGTGACTTAACCTAGCCCTTCTATTTGCATCTCTAAGGGAAATCAGATTTCCGTGTCCTTGGACCTCCTGAGCCACTTCTGGCCATAGTTGGGCAAGACAAGGAGTTGCCTTGCAAACTGTCACCCAGCATCAGTGCCGAGGGCATGGAGCTGAGGTGGTACAGGGACCAGCCCTCGCCAGCTGTGCACGTGCACCAGAACGGAGACGATGTGTATGAAGAGCAGATGGCAGAATACAGGGGAAGGACCACATTCATCGGCGACCGCATGCTCCGAGGAGAGGCCACTGTGAGGATACACAACGTCACCATGTTTGACAACGGGACTTATCACTGCATCTTCAGGGAGCACACATCCCACAACCAGGCCACCCTGTGGTTGAAGGTGGCAGGTGAGGGCTGTGTGGGTCTTTCATTTTGCTGGGGAGCCTCTCTAGTCAACAACCACCATGCCAGACCACGGCCTCCAGAGCCCAGAGCCCTAAAGCTGGAGAGGTTTGGTGACACCTGCTCCCGGGCAAAACTCTCTTCCCACAGAACGCTGTTTCCCCATCTGCCTTCCCTTCATCACACACCCTAGTAGCAGAAAGGGAGCACAGATGTGGGGGGAGGGGGTCAAGGCACGGAAACAACTGGGAGGCGGAAAACACGGAGCCTGCGGCAGAGAGTCAGAGAGAGGCAGCGAGAAGCAAGAAGCAGATTGGAAAAGAAGTAAAGAAGAGAAAAACAGAGGGAAGGCAGGAACACAGAGAGAAAGAACAAAAAGAAACCTGAAAAGAGACAGAGTAGGAGAAGCTGAAACTCATGGGGATGAAACAGAGAAAGAGAGTGAGATTATTTGGGGGTATGGAGAAGTTTCCCTAGGTTAACAGAATTTGGTATTTGTGGTCAGACAGACCCCAGCTCCTCCCTTGTCCCACATACAGTGGGAAACTTTGTTTTTCTCCTTAAATCTCCCGTTTCACTCGACTGTTTTATTTGGAAACATAGTGCCTCTTAGTGGTGTTAATTACAAATAGGTGGTCCAGGAAGAGTCATAGAACCTACTAACACCTACAAGACATCCCCTCCCCCTTGGAAGCCACTAGCTACAGGGTCTGAGCCGATGTTCTTCCTTCAGGGCTGGGCTCATCGCCCGTTATCCACGTGACTGACAGCCAGGACAAAAGCATCCGGGCAGAGTGCACCTCAGCAGGCTGGTTCCCAGAGCCCAAGGTGGAGTGGCTGGACCTCAGAGGACAGCCAGTGCCCGCTGAGACTCACTTCTCACCCTCTGCCAGCACTGGCCTCTTGACTGTGATATCCATAGTGACTGTCCAGGAAAGGACTGTGGAGGGTCTGACTTGCTCCATCTCTAACCCCCTCTTCCCTGAGAAGAAGGTGGCTGAGACTTACCTGCCTGGTGAGTACCTGTTCAGTTCTGCCATCAAAGCCACCAGCACGGGAATCCAGGCACTGGGTGCCAGAGATGTATGGAGAGAGCTGTAGGGGCAGAGCCAGAGAAGCCCCTGCCTGCAGCCTGGTCAAGGGGGTCACGGGGACGTTGGTTTCCAAAATGAAGCAGTTATGGGGTTGCAGGGAGATCCAGCAGGGAAGCGAAAATACGCATCCTGACATTGGTGTTGCTGTTGTTGCTCTAAGAATTTTTTTTTTAAGAGAAGTTTTAGTTCATGACAAATCTAACCAGAAAGTGCATAGATTTTCTTTTCTTTAAAAAGAGCTATTTATTTCTTTTGTTTTATGTGTATGAGTGTTTTACTGATTGTGTGCGTATGAGTGTACTGCCCCTGGAACTAAAGTTACAGATGGTTGTGAGCCGCCATGTGGGTGCTGGAAACAGGACCTGGGTCCTCTGGAAGGGCAGGCACGCTCTTAACCACTGAAATGTCTCTCCAGTCCCTGCATTTTCCATATCCCTCATCTCACAGTCATAACTCCCCAGGTATGAAAACCCAGAAGGGGAATAGCACGGGGATGAACAGGCAGAGACCCACCAGGGTCAGCAAGAATATGGGACCCAGCCATGCTGGGTGCTCAGAGGGGTGCACACAGGACAAAGACATCTGTTCATCAGCACTGCATCACTATCACTACATCATCACCGGCACTACATCATCACCAGCACTGCATCATCACCAGCACTGCATCACCACCAGCACTACATCATCACCAGCACTGCATCATCACCAGCACTGCATCATCACCAGCACTACATCACCACCAGCACTGCATCATCACCAGCACTACATCACCAGCACTGCGTCACCAACACTGCGTCACCAGCACTGTATCACCAGCACTGCATCACCACCAGCACTGCATCATCACCAGCACTACATCATCACCAGCACTGCATCATCACCAGCACTGCATCACCACCAGCACTGCATCATCACCAGCACTGCATCACCACCAGCACTGCATCACCAGCACTGCATCACTATCACTGCATCACCAGCACTGCATCACTATCACTGCATCATCACCAGCACTACATCACCACCAGCACTGCATCATCACCAGCACTACATCACCAGCACTGCGTCACCAACACTGCGTCACCAGCACTGCATCACCAGCACTGCCTCATCACCAGCACTACATCATCACCAGCACTGCATCACCAGCACTGCATCACCACCAGCACTGCATCACCAACACTGCATCACCAGCACTGCATCACTATCACTGCATCACCACCAACACTGCATCACCAGCACTACATCATCACCGGCACTACATCATCACCAGCATTGCATCATCACCAGCACTGCATCACCAGCACTGTATCACTATCACTGCATCACCACCAGCACTGCATCACCAGCACTGCATCACCAGCACTGCATGCTGCCTCAAGCCCTCTACCCTCTCTATCCACACTCTGTCTTCCAACTTATGCCTGGAAACCCCTGACCTTTATTTTTCTTCTTCAAATGGTTTTGCCTTTCCCCAGTGTTTTATAGTTGAAATCACACCAAATCTATTTTTATCAGACTGGCTTCTTTTAGTTAGTAACATGTATTTAAGAGTTTTCTGTGACTTTCCTGGTGTCTTAGTTACTGTTCTATTGCTGTGAGGAGACACCATGACCAAGGCACTCTTAGAGAAAAAAAAAAGCATCTAATTGGAAGTTTGCTTACCATTTCAGAGGGTGAGTTCTTTATCATCATGGCGGGGACCATGGTGGCAGGCAGGCATGGTGCTGGAGAAGTAGCTGAGAGCTCACATCTGATCCTTAAGTTACAGGCTGAAAGATGCACTAGGCGTAGTGTGGGCTTTTGCAAGCCTCAGCCCACTCCCAGCGACACACCTTCTCCAGAAAGGCCACATCTCCTAATCGTCCCCAAAAGTTTCACTAACTGGGAACCAAACATTCAAACATAGAATCCTACTGGAGTCATTCTCATTCAAACCACCACACTTAAACAATCTTTTTTTTTTTTTTTTTTTTTATTTTCGAGATAGGGTTTCTCCGTAGCTTTTGGTTCCTGTCCTGGAACTAGCTCTTATAGACCAGGCTGGCCTCGAACTCACAGAGATTCGCCTGCCTCTGCCTCCCGAGTGCTGGGATTAAAGGCGTGCGCCACCACCGCCCGGCTAACAATAATTTATTTTAAAGAAATAAACTTATTAATAAATTAATTGGGGTCTATCCAGACAGTTGATTTATCTATTTATCTACTAAGGGCTATGTTTAGCTTTCCATTCAAAGTTTATTTCTTTAAAAGCTTGTTTTTGTTTGGTTTTGTTTTGGGTGTTTTTTTGGTTTTTTTTTTTTTTTTGACTTTTTGATTAAAAGGATATCACTAGCCGGTCTTGAACTCACAGAAATCTGCCTGCCTCTGTTTCTCAAGTGCTAGAATTAAAGGCATGTGCCGCCATACCGGACAAAAGTCTTATTTCTAAACGTTGTTAAACTTACAGCTTAATTTTGCAAAAATAGCATAGTTTGCAAAAATAATAAGTCTCTGCCTCAGTTACACAGATTCACACTTTGATGGACTTCTTTTTCTATAAATAGCAAACCTAATATCTATCTCTTACCCATACAGCCATGCATGCACAACTTCCTCAGTCCATTCTGCCTCAGCTCACGCCATGCGTTGTCCTGGGCTCATGGGCCATGGACAAGTGTGTATTACTAGCAGTCCCAGACAGACAATGGAAGCCCACGGGTGGGGTGGGCAGGGTCTGAGTCTGGTGAGGGCTGCTCCACAGTTCATAGATCTTCTTGCAGTGCTCTCATATGTGGAGGAAGGGCCAGGACCTCTCTGAGAGACTTTTTATAAAGGCATTGATCCTGCAAATGAGCCCCCACCCTCAGGACTTCCCACCTCCCACAGCCCACCGGCACCATCGCCTAAGGGGCTGGAATTTCAGCTTGGGGGGACACATATGCAGGCAATATAGCACTGTGTATCAGAAGACATCTCAATTTTTCAGAACCCTTTTTAGAAAGGTCTGTGAACACTGTGTCCCTTGAGTCTGGAATGTTGTAGTGTGTGTGTGTGTGTGTGTGTGTGTGTGTGTAACAAAGACAGTCCACTCATGTTTTCTTGATGCCCTGGAATCCTCTTAGCTTCCCTGTTCAGAAGACCTCCTTCCACGGAGAGGGGACCAGTTCTACCTCTGATCCTCACGGCACTGGGGCTTGTCACAGCAGCAATTGCCTGTGCCTTCGGGAGATCGCACAAAGAGGATAAAAGTGAGGAAGAAGACGCAGATCCGGGAGCCGGTGCTGAGGCTGAGCCCTTCCATGGTGAGTGGGTCCTGACCCTCACACCGGAGACCTAGATGCCACGCTGTGGTCTGAGGCTTTGTCTTTGTGCCATCCAACACAGCGGGAATGGAATGACTAGTGGGGGTTTCGACTCTGGAATTTTCTGACTATCACCCACCCAGAAGAAACCCTTCATCCCTGAGATCCCTTGGTGGGTTATTCCTCACAAGATAATTCTGAGCAGTCTACAGGGCCTCCTTCTGGAAAACGGATAGATAGGAGCTTGTCATTTTTCCATCACTGAAACAAAATGCCTGAGGCTCAGTCATGTGTAACAGAATGTTTACTTAGCTCACGTTTGGGGGCTGAAATGTTCAACATCAGGTGGTCCTTGTGGTAAGGGCTCCTTTGCTGTGTCAAATCATGATAGATAGCAAGACAGAAAAAACAAGAGATTTGGAGATCAGGGTCACATGGGAACTAGGCAGGGTCTCCAGAGAACTAAAGAATGTTTCCAATAAGGCATTACCTTGGATGAGGCTCCTCCTCTTAAAAGTTTCCCCACCGCTGGCCAGTGATGGTGCATGCCTTTAATCCCAGCACGCAGGAGACAGAGGCAGGTGGATCTCTGTGAGTTGCAGGCCAGTCTGGTCTACAGAGTGAGTTCCAGGACTCTGGGAAACCCTGTCTCGAAAAACAAAACAAAACAACCCCCCCACCACCACCACTCCCTATTCACACTGAGGACCCGGCTTCTAACAAGCAAACTCTGAGGACACATGCCAACCACAGGCAACCCACAGAAAAGCCTGCATCTGGAGTACTGGCTGTGAGGTGTGGGTGTGAGTTCCAAGTTTTCTGTCTGCTGGCGGTGGTCTCTCAGTCTCTCTTCCACAGAGTTTAGTCCCTGGGGAGCTGTCCCAGGCTGTGCTCACAGCTGCCTCTCTCACTGCCTAGGGGATAACAAAATCAGTTTAAATGGGGCCAGTAACAGATTTATAGAAGTGGAGGGGAAACCTTCAAGTAGGAGACAAACCTTGCTTCCCTCATCCAAGCGGGGCCAAGATGGCAAAAGCCCCCCCCCCCCCCCTGCCACTTTCCTCTCTCCACAGCCAGCCTGTCCCTGGACCCTGAAACTGCAAGTCCCAAACTCACAGTGTCTGAGGATCGGAAGAGTGTGAAGCGGTTGCTGTTTGACCAGGACCTGTCTCCCAGTTCCCAAAGATTTGACCAGGACCCCTGCATCCTGGCCCGAGAGCGCTTTGATGCAGGAAGGCATTACTGGGAAGTGGAGGTCGGGGACAGGCGGGCCTGGATTCTGGGTGTGTGTCTGGAGAGTTTGGGACGAGAAGGTAGGATCCCCAAGTCCCCTCAGCATGGTCTCTGGGCACTGGAGTTTTACAAGAAGAAACTCCAGGCCCTCTCCTACCCCAGGACTCACCTGTCTCCTCCACAACCCCTCCGGCGTGTGGGCATCTCCTTAGACTTTGAGGCAGGAGAAATCTCCTTTCACAATACGGCCAACGGCTCCCTGATCTATGTGTTCTCTGGGCTGTCTTTTTCTGGTCCCTTACAGCCATTTTTCTGCCTCTGGACCCATGACCCCAGACCCCTGACCATCTGCTCAGTGATCAGAGAGACCGAAGAAGACACAGAATCCTCTGGAGGTCCTTGTCCTCCCCGGGGACTCCTGAGACATCCTTAGGAGGGAGAGGCTCCTGCCTTCTTGCCACCCTGGCTCCTGGTATTATTTATTGCATTCCTGTGTGAATATATGGCAAGACACCAGGGGCTGGATATGCTGCCTCTGCCAAGTTTCTGTGCTGAATGCTGAGCGCCTCCCCCACCCCACCCAGGATTTCTGAAGATGTTGTCATTTGGAGATGAGGCATTGAAAGAGATTAAGGTTAAAGGGAAGTCCTTGATGTACCTTAACCCTACAAACCTGCTGTTCTTGTAAAAGGAGAGATCTGGACACACACCCTGTGGGGAATCAGAGAGGTGCCACTCACTAGCCCAGGAGACCAGCAATGTCTCAGAATCCTAGCTTCTGGGACTTAGAAAGTGGTTCCTGCTGAGTGAGAATCACGTGGCTCTCCTGTGCTGAGGTCCTTTGTTAAGGCTGCCGACCCTCAGTGAGGAAAAGGACACAATAAGAATAACTGGGGTTGTCCAGCTCAGTGGCGGGTGTGCTGCGGCTGCGCCGGAACTGGGTCTTGCCCTCTTCTTACTCTATCCTGTTTGTCTTTCTTTTCCTTCCTCCGTGCTTTCCTCTCCCTTCTCCCCTTCTCTTTCTTCCTGTTAAATGTTGTTTATTTCTGATGATGATGATGATGGGGGGGGGGGTGCGCATGCATGTGCATGCACGGACTTAAGTGCAGTGCCTACAGAGGCCAAAGCAGCATCTGATCCCCTAGAACTCTAGTTACAGAGGTCGTGAGGTGACGGGTGAGCAAAACCCAGGTTTTCTGCAAGAGCAGCCTGGGCTCAGTCATTGAACCGTCTCTCCAGCCCCTCCCCCTTCCCTCTCTTTTCTCACTCCGCCAATCTCTTTCTACCTTAAATCCTCTTCTCTCCCTCACTATGGCAGACTAGTTTAAACGGCACAGAGGCAAAGATCTCAAGATTCCTAAGGCTTTGGTCAGAGCTCGATGAGGACAGAAACCACAAAAGTGCTGACAGAGAAAGCAGACTCGAAGTGGGTGTTGATGGACGCTGAGAACACAGGAGACAAAACTAGACGGTGGAACCAGCTCTCAGCTACCTGAGAGTCTTCCACTCTGAGACCATGGGCAGAAGGGAGACAAGAGACTGGGGAGTGGGGTGCTACTGCATGGTGCTTGCTCCACGGGTGCCGAGAAAATGCAGTCTGCCCTGTGCTGTGAGGCTGGAAGCCCCAAGAGAAACAAGAGTCACACTTCCTCTTGCTGCGGGGTGTGTGTGTGTGTGTGTGTGTGTGTGTGTGTGTGTCTGTTGGTGGGATCTCTGTGGTGTTCAGGACCCCTCCAGGGGGACTGGAGCTTAAGGTTAAGTGCTCTGGCCTAAAAGCCATTAAGGACTCACCCCTCCATGTTCTGGAGACTAGAAATCGAACTGAAGTGTGGGCAGGGTTGGCGTCTCTGGGAAGCACTGGAAAATCTACTCCAGGCCTCCCTCGCGGTGTGGGGTAGAGTCCAGCCCCCCTTGGCTGGCAGAAGCATCAGGGCAAATGCTGGTGTTGTCATTGTATGGCCAGTTCCTCTCTGCATTTCTCCCTAAAAATCTTTCTCTTGGATACGCTTATCTAGCCCAGAGCCCACTTTAACACAGGCTGACCCCACCCTGAGGTTGGTAACTTGATTGCATCTGCGAAGACACTTTCTCCAGATGACCCCAGTCACAGTTATGCCCGCATATCTGCGGGGGGGGGGAGGGGCACTCAACCTACCATAGTGGGTCAGAGTTGAAGGGCACTGCCGAGTGGTGGGCACACCCTTTTGCACTGGAATGCCGCCTCAGAATGAGATCATTGTCTGTAAGGGCTGTAGCAGTTATACGAGCTTCAGAGTCAAGGTCCTCAGACACAGATGAAGAACGCCTGGGGTTTTGGGTTCACAGTTGAGAGCACAGCCGTGGTTAGTCTATGGAGTAGCAAGGAAGTGTCACAAGCACAGGTGGTCCTGAACTGGGCTTTGGAGAGAGGCTGGCATTTGTATGGGAAGAAAAGGGAGAAGAGAGGGGCTCAGTGAAAGAGCCCTGTCCTTGTCACCTGCCCATTACCGTTTTCAACCTTGGGGTGATAATGTTTTTATTTTTTTTCCTTGTTTGTTCATCGGTGTGATATTTATATGTAACAAATTTGCTAATTAAAACAACTGATATGTAGACCAGAGATCCGCCTGCCTCTGCCTCCTGAGTGCTGGGTTAAAGGCGTGCGCCACCACTGCCCAGCTAGTTTTTATTTTTTTAAGATTTATCTATGTATTTTACATATATGAGTGTTTTGTCTGAATGTACATGTGCACACCAGAAAGTGGCCCCTGCCTTTAACTCCAGCACTTGGGAGCCAAAGGCAGGCAGATACCTGAGTTTGAGGCCAGTCTGGTCTAAGAGGGAGTTCCAGGACAGCCAGGGCTACACAGGGAAACCATGTCTCATAAAAACAAAAATATGTCTGTCTTCATGTGTGTGTGTGTCTGTATGTATGTGTGTGTGTCTGGTGTGTGTATGTGTCTGTATGTGTGTGTGTCTGGTGTGAGTATGTGTTTCTATATGTATGTGTGTCGTCTGATGTGTGTGTGTCTGGTGTGTGTGTATGTCTGGTGTGTGTGTTTGTGTGTGTGTCTGGTATGAGTGTATGTGTCTATATGTGTGAGTGTGTGTTGTCTGGTGTGAATGTGTGTGTCTAGCGTGTATATCTGTATATCTGGTGTGTGTGTGTGTGTCTGGTGTGAGTGTATATGTGTCTGTATGTGTGTGTGTCTGGTGTGTGTCTATATGTGTGTGCGTGTTGCCTGGTGTGAGTGTGTGTCTGCCGTGTGTATCTGTGTGTATGTCTGGTGTGTGTGTGTACCTTCAGAGACCAGACTAGAGCACTGAATCCCTTGGAGCTGCAGTCAAGGCATTTGTGAACTGCCCAACGTGGGTGCTGAAATCAGCACTCCTATTCCAATGATGGAGCATCGGGTCCTTTTAACTGCTAACCCGCCTCCCACCCGCGAGCTTTCTTGTTTGAAGGGTGCAGCATGGTGAACAGTGGCCAAAGGGTACACTCATGTAGCAGCACCGTCAAGAGGTCAGAGTCCTTTGCCATCAAAGTCCCCTGGACTTGTGGAACTCCATCCCCACCACGACTCTACTGCAGGCAGCCACTGATCTGTGAAGCTTTTTTTATTTTGTTTTGATTTCCCTTCTCTCATTCTTGGGCTTAATTTGAAGTCAGTTTGTTTAAATTGTGGAGTAGTACTGAAAACATTGAGTTGAGAACCTTCATTTTTCTTGGCTTTCTATTTGGCACCTCTATGTGATGAACCCTTTCACCCTGTTCTGGACTTTAAAATAAATGGAATCACGCTACCATTTTCTTGTCTCCTTTACTTCTGTGTTGGTCCCTTCCCTGTTGTCATGACAACATACCTGTTGCTGGGAAACACGTTTCTTAGCTGACACTTTTGAGGAGCACATTACCTGATAAACCCCAAGTGACTGCTCCTTTTCACCATCCAATTGGCAGCTTCTCTCTTCTCTCCTGTCCTGCTTTCACTGTCAACTTGACACAGCTAGAGTCACTAAGGGAAGAGGGACACTACAGAGGAGCTGCTTCCATCGGATTGCCTGTGGGCAAGACCGTAGAGCAGTGGCTCCCAACCTTCCTAGCGCTGCGACCCCTTAATACAGTTCCTCACGTTGTGGTGACCCCAACCATAACATTATTCTGTCGCTGCTTTATAACTCTAATTTTGCTACTGTTATGAATCGTAATGTAAATATCTGATACGTAGAATATCTGATATGTGACCCCAGAGGAGTCAAGACCCACAGGCTGAGAACCATTGTTGAGACCCATTTGTACTGATGTTCGTGGGAGGGCCCAGCGGGTGAGGCCACACCTGAACAGGTGGTCCTAGGTGCCCTGAGAAAGCAGGCTGAGCTTCAGTCCCTGTCTCCAGGTTTCTGCCCTGGTTTCTCTTCCTGATGAGCCATACCTGCAAGCTGAAATCTTTTCCTCCTCAGGCTGCTTTTGGTCATGATATTGTCACGACACCAGAAAAGCAAACGACAACTTCTAAATTCCCCAACACCGGCTGTGCCTGTTTGAATGAGAAATGCCCCAACGGGTTCAGGAGTTTGAACTCTTGGTACCCAGTTGATGGTGTTGTTTGAGAAGATTGAGGCAGTGGGGCCTTAAGGGAAGAAGTATATTTTTAGGGGGCAGAGTTTGAGGGTTTACGGCCTCAACCCACTTCCAGCTTGTCCTCACTGCTTCCATTGTGTGGTTGAAAAGGGATCTGTCTATTAGCTTCCTGCTCCAGCTGCCCGCTGCCATGCCTCCCCTGCCATCATGAACAGTTCCTCTGAAACCCTTAGCCCAGAGTAACTTCCTTCCTTAAGTTTCTCCTGGTCAGATACTTTATCGCAGGAACTGGAAATTAACTAATACAGAAGCTGAACAGGGAGGCAGAGTTCAGCTTTGTGTTGATTTTTTGTGAGACGGGAAATCCAGGCTGGACTGGAACTCGGCTTCTGCCAGTATTAATTTAGACTGAGCTTTGTGCTCACGATTTCCTGCCTGCTGCCCCTTGCTCCAATGAGGCTCTTAGCCAATTGACTGGTGGCCATCCACACTGGTGAGCAGGGTTCTTCTATACCCACTGATAATTTCTTCAGTGCACTGTCATGGAGACAGACAGAAGCAGTATGCTACCAAGTCAGGAGGCATCACTTTGCCCAACCCTGCTGACGCATTGACCACCATGGCTGGTTCACCCAGGCTTCATGAAAAGGTAGAAGCATGTCTCTAAACGCTGGTGAGCAAGTCCAGGGAATCCTGTGGGATTGTCTGACTTGTACATTCCTCTATCCTGCCACTATGAAGTCCTTCTCCATCTCATTCCCCTATTCTCCCTTAGTTCCAGTGTGTGTGTGTGTGTGTGTGTTTGTGCACGCGTGCGTGTGTGCTCTAAATCGCATGCATGTGGCACGCATGAAGGTCAGAGGACAAGTTGTTCTCTCCTTCCACAACAAGAGTTACGGAGACCGCATCCACTCAAGTAGTCAGGCTCCGAGGCACGTGATTGTGATTTTACCGCTGAGCTTCTCGA